CCAAAAAAAAAGAAAGAAAAAAAAAAAGAAAGAAAAAGAAAGAAAGAAAAAAAAAGAAAAAAAAAAAAAGAAAGAAAGAAAGGAAGAAAGAAAGAAAGACTAAAGCCAATAAGTGAGCTTCGCTGAGCTTCATTTCCCCTCGTTTGCATTCAGAATATATAGGGGTACCAAATATGCCATTCATTTACACTCACACCCTTCCCTTGCCCTTCTTTAAAAATCACTACTATAGAGAGGCATAGAGAAGTGCAATGTGTTTCTGTCATCACAGAATTTCAAAACTAGCAGGGCAGACAAGACCGACACATGAAGAATTTAATAACGTTCCTGCAACCTTGAGTACTTCCTCCTTTTTACATAAATCCATGTTCACTTTATCTAAACCACTCTTAAAAGCCTTATTCTACTCTCCAATCCCCGTGGGCCCCAATCATTTTCTTACTCAACTTTGCCCCAGAATGAGCTGACACATTCATGAGCTACACCCATCTGCAACCATCTGCAGGCAGGGCTCTCTCCTCCACCATGCATTTACTCTGTACTATAGGTTCTTCGATGGGAGATGGGGGAAGACTATTTTCTGAGTCCAGCAGCCAATACAGGATGCCCAATATAGGCATTTGCACAAGAAATTTATGGAAATGCCTACTCATGATTATCAGGGGTATGATTATCCAAGTCATGACAAATCTACAAAAACCTCACTTTCACCAATAGTTTTAGTTTTCTTTTCTGCCTGCTCATGGCCCTCATCCCAACTTCTAATCAAAGGTGTTAATGAGGATACAGCTAATTTGGATGTCCTTTCTAGGCTGTCTCTGTTAACGAACAAGGGGACTGGATAAGATGAACAGACAAAGAAGCCAGGCCCTTGAACTAACAATGTGCATCTTAGAATGAAGGTGTGGTTGCCTTCCACTGGAGTCCCCTTGGTTCTCAAGCCTTCTTCCTCTCCCTGTGACAGACATTCCATTCCTAGCCAGAGGTCCCAGAAACCAAGTCCCTACCATCTTCTTCTTGGTAAACTCCATCACCATCTGGTCCGCCAGCTTCTCCTGAGCCAGCAGCTCTGCTTTCTGTTTCTGGTTTTCGTCATTGATGCGCTTAATCTCAGCTTGCATCTTCAGTTTTTGCTGCTGCCTTCGTTCCATGTCCTGCCAGGAAAAGTAAGAGAGCCTCAGAGTACAAAGAGGCAAGACAAGAGGCCACTGGCATCCAGAGATACAGAGAGACAGACAGAGGCGGGGGACAAACGCATGGCCTGCAGTCTAGTGTCCACAACTATCCTTTGTTAAAGCTGCTTTTTCAAGGGTCATCATTGCCCTCTTCAACCAAATGACCTCTTTACAGTCTTCATCCAACTTGACTTTGTGGCAGCCCCTGATGCTGTTGATCTCTATACTTTCAGGAAGCAGAAGCTCTTAAAGTTCCACGCAATTGCCTCTCACATGTCTTGCTAAATCTTACCCCTGTGGCTTTGCTTATGGTGCTTCCTCCTGCCTTCAATTTCCCTTTCCCATTTAAACCCAACTTTCACTCTCCATTCAATGGTGACGACTGAAATAATGAATACTGCCCTAAATGAGTATTTTCTATTTGAACACTGCACGTAGACTATCTCTAATACCTAAATATGTTCAAAAATTCTACAAGGTATGCCTTGTTGGCCAGGACCAGTGGCTCATGCCTGTAATCCCAGGACTTTGGGAGGCCAAGGTGGGCAGATCACCTGAGGTCAGGAGTTCGAGGCCAACCTAACCAACATGGAGAAACCCCGTCTCTACTAAAAATACAAAAAATTAGCTGGGTTGGTGGCAGGCTTCTGTAATCCCAGCTACTCGGGAGGCTGAGGTAGGAGAATCACTTGAACTCCAGGAGGTGGAGGTTGTGGTAAGCCGAGATTGTGCCATAGCACTCCAGCCTGGGCAACAAGAGCAAAGAGGAAAAAAAAACTCTGCTCTGCTAAAAAAAAAAAAAAAAAAAAAAAAAAA